GTTCTGTTTTCACTCTTTTGGTGAAGTGTTTTAATGAGCATAAATGTTTAATTTTCAGGAGGACCCAGTAGTTTAGTTTGTCTTCTGCTGTTTGCACATGCTTAGGCATGTTTGGTATGTATTTTGCCATGTAGCAGGGCCCCTAAGTTTGCTCCTATTTTTCCTTTGTTGGTCTTCATAGTTTTAGACTTTACATTTAGATCTTTGATTGATTTTGAGTTTGTTTTTGTATATGGTGAGAGATATGGATCTTGTTTCACTTTTATGCAAATGGATATCTAGTTTTGCACCATTTGTTAAAAAGACTATTTCTTTCCCATATAATGGCTTTAAGCCCTTTGTCAAAGATCAATAATCCATAAGTAGATGAACTTACTTTTGGGGTCTGTCATTGTATCAGTAACAGGCTGTTTTTACTACCATGGTTATATATTATTAGGTTTTGATATAGGGGAGTGTGAGGCCTCTGACTTTGTTCTTCTTCTTTGCTCATCTAGGTAATAATAGTGCTTTGCTTATCTGAGGTCTCTTTCCTTTGCATATAAAGTTGTTGATTAGTTTTTCCACCTCTTTAAAGAGTGATGCTGGAATCTGGATTGAGATTGTATTATATCTGTAGATTGTTTTGGGTAGTGTTGTCATTTTTAGAATGCTAAGTCTTACTCTCCATGAGTATGGCATAATCTCCCATTTATGTAGGTGCCTTTCAGTTTTTGTATTAGTGTTTTGTAGTTTTGTTTGTAAAGGTCTTTTGTGTCTCTGGTTAGATTTACTCCGAAGTACTTCATTTTCTGGGTGGTAATGTAAATGGTAATGTTTTCCCGATTTCCTTTTCAGAATTTTCTTTGCTACTACAGAGAATCCTACTGAATTTTGTATGTTGGTCTTGTACCCAATCACTTTGCTGAATTTTTCTATTAGTTCCAGTAGTTTTCTTATTGAGTCTCTAGGATTTTCTAAGTATAGAATCATACCATCTGCAAATAGAGACAGTTTTACTTCTTTGCCAATTTGGATGCTTTTTAATTCCTTTTCTTGCCTTACTGCTCTGGCTGAGACTTCCAATACAATATTGAGTAGGAGTGGTAATAAGGGGCATCCATGTCTGGAATCTCATTTGCAAGGGGAATGTTTCCAGTCTCTCTCCATTAAGAGTAATGTTGGCCATTGGCTTTGTGTACATGCCCTTAATTATGCTGAGGAATTTCCCTACTTGGGAAGTTTTTAACAAGATTGAGGTCAGCCACAGCTGGCCCCTTTCCCAACCTCCAAGGCCTGGAGTGGGGCCCAAACACTGGTTGAGAATCAATGCCTTGATGTTCAATGCACTGCTTAAACAAAGAGAGGTATATTGATCATCAAATAGAGGAAAACATTTTTTTTTTCCTTTCTTTTTTGCTTTCTCCAAAGTCTCTGTGTGATACAAACAGTTAATTTGCTGGGCTACTAACTGAAAGATTGGATATTTGAGTCCATCCATAGGGGATTTGGAAGAAAGGTCTGGTGACCTCCTTGAATCAACTAGACAACAAGTTTGGGTTTTTCCTTTTTTTGGTTGACCTTCTGCAGGAGGTGCTGGGAGGAGACTAAAAATGTTTTCTGTTTCAAAAGACTAAGACTTTGAAAGACTATATGTTTAAAATTGAAATCATAAAAGGTGAATATGAGCTTGCCCTGAACCTCAAAATGGTGGTGCTGTGGATTCTCCAGGAAGCCATAGAAAGATAATACTGAGGCCAGAGAGAAGTTTCCCCATGGCTCATCTTCAAGAGGCTGCTGACATGTTCGTAGGGAGTGGAGGCCAAACTGGACCAGGATGATCCAGTGCCCTTGGTAATAAAAGTCTCACATGGGGAGGCAGGAGAGGCTGGCTGGCAAAGGCTGAGATGTCACCTCATTGCAGTTAAGCATGCCTGAGACTGTAGCAACATCCCCACTCTCAGGTGGCTGCTAGCTGGCCTATATGGATGGTAAGCTCCTGGAGAGGTTTGGATGAGGAGGAGGGAAGCCAGTGGGGAGTAGGGAGTGGGGAGCCAGAAGAGCTTAGTCTGGAGTTGCCCTCTGTATCTATGCAAGTTCCCATGGCACTCTCCTTGTATTTGGTGAATCCACTCCCACTTCAACAACAAAACAAACCACAGCCTCCACCACTGTTCTGCCTCACAAAGTTGTCCCTGATTAGCCACATCTACTTCCCCTTCCTAATACAGTAAAATCTTTGAAAGCTAGATGCCACATAAGGTGGAAACCTGTCAGAGAAAGCAAACCAAAACCTTTTCCACTAAAACAAGCGATAGAAAAGTGGTAAGATGCTCTGTAAACTTTCACCCAAAATATAATTTAAAAAAAAGACAAAAAGATAAGTAGTAAGACTGTACCCTGTCAAAGGTAGAAAAGTTGTAAGACCTAGGAAAACAAGACAGTCCCTTTAAATTCTAGCTCTCACAGATTTCACTGTATTGGGAAAGGAGGGATGCTTGTTTTGTTATCTGCAGTAGGGGTAGGGTCCACATAGCACATCATGCCATTAAACTAGGGTGAATTGATGGCATAATGCCAAGCCAAGGTTTAGCACCCAGCTTTCGCATGCTTATGAGGTGACTGAAAATACCATGGTTTGGGTCAGGTGCATCTCAGTCCTCAAGGTGATATCTTTGCTTTTTAACATTTTAAAGAGGTTGTTTGCAGTAGTTCTGCCCAATGCAATATATCATTTGATTTCTCAACTGCTGTTTCCATGGGCAATGATTATAGATTCAAGTATAACAAAATACTTGACAACTTCAATATTTTCTCTTAATAATAAATAAAGAAGACTGAAGAACTGATGCCTTTGAATTATGGTCTTGATGAAGAATAATGAATATACCATGGATTGCCAGAAGAACAAAGAAATCTGTCTGGGAAGAAGTACAGCCAGAATGTTCCTTAGAAATGTGGACAGTGAGACTTTCTCTCACTTTCCAATCTTTATGGAAGCAGACTGCTTCATCTTTCTCCCATGGAGTGGCTGGTCAGTTTGAACCGCCAACTTTTTGGTTAGCAGCCGAATGCTTTAATCACTGTGTCAGTAGAGATCCTTAAGTCCCTAAAGGATGCTGGATTTTTCTATCCACCTAGTTCTGTCCTAACCAAATAAAAGAAAAAGAAAAAAAAAAAAAAAAAAAACAGGCAATAACAACACCATAAACACTTCTGAAATTGATGGAAAAAGGATAGAGGAAACAACACTTGAATTATCTAGAATCCCTGTGTAGTAACAAAACTTGATAAAAGAATTTTAGAATTGGGAAAACCCTTGTAAGATCACCTATTTCTGTCTCTAACTGCACTGGATGGCACCTAACAACAACAAGATTTGGTAAGATGAGCTTTGTTGGGAGAAAGATGGCAAAATAGAGGCCCTTCAGGGGTATAAATAGGCGAATTCCACATAGCAAATTGATTTCACAGTGAGGACAGAATTCAGGCTTCCTGACTCTCAATTCAGTGCTCTTTCTAACACACTAGGGAGCTCCAGTGGTGCAGCAGACTGTCAGAAGAACAAGCAAATCTGTCTTGGACGAAGTACAGCCAGAATGCTCCTTAGAAGCGAGCAGGGCCAAACTTTGTCTCATGTACTTTGGTCATGTTGTCAGAAAGGACCAACCCCCGGAGAAGAATTATCATGCTTGGCAAAGCAGAGGATCAGCGAAAAAGATGAAGACCCTCAACAAGATGGACTGACACAGTGGCTGCAACAATGGGCTCAAGCATAGCAAAGATTATGAGGATGGCTCAGGACTGGGCAGTGTTTCATTCTGTTTTACGTAGGCTTGCTGTGAGTCAGAACTGACTCTACGGCACCTAACAGCAAAAACAAGGTGCTGTGGTGGTGCAATGGTTAAGCAGTTTGGCTGCTAACCAAAAGGTCAATGGTTCAAACCCACTAGCCATTCTGCAGAAGAAAGATGAGGCAGTCTGCTTCCATAAAGATTTACAGCCTTGGAAACCCTATGGGGCAGTTCTACTCTGTCCTATAGGGTTGCTGTGAGTTAGAATCAACTTGAAGGCAGTGGGTTTTCTAATACACTACAATTTGTATCCTTTGATAACAATGAAATCATTAAATTACTATGTAAATAAATAGAATCTAAAATAAAACAACAAACAAACTAAGAAACATGTGTAACTCCTCCTCCTCTGCTCACCACCACTACTACCTTTACTACTGATAAATAGGGTCAGAAAAGGAGCTCTGGTGGCTTAATGGATAAGGCATTTGGCTGCTAACCAGAAGATGAGCAGTTCAAATTCACCAGCCACTCTGCAGAAGGAAGATGGGGCAATCTACTTCCGTAAAGATTTACTGCCTCAGAAACCCAATGGGGGTCACTATGAATCAGAATCAACTCGATGGCAGTGAGTAATAGAGTCAAAATGCACTTAAATCTGTTTTGAAAGGATCTGTGCTATAGTGGAAAGAGCTTCAGAGCCAGGCAATGGGAGGCTTGACTCCAACATCTACCACATCCAAAGTGTATGTAACCTCTCTGAGCCTCAATAGCCTCATTTTTTAAAAAAGTGATAATCCAACCTTGGAATTTATTTGTTAGTATTACATGAGATGGTGCACATAAAACTCTTGGCCAGTGTAGGCACCTGACAATGCCCTTTCAAAACAAAGTTCCTGTCTTAATAATCTGTTTGTTCTTTGACAAATATTTATGTAGCTCTGACAATGTCCCCGGGCACTGTTATGAGAGTGGAAGATTCAACAGTAACAAAAAAGGCGAAGTCACTGCCTTGCAAATTGTACATTGAGGCCACTGGCCACAGCAGGGTGTGTGTGTGGAGGGGGCCTAGAAGCATACATTAAACTCACAAACAGATGTGTACTATGCTGGGTGAGGAAAAGTGCTATAAAGAAAAATAAAACAGGGCAAGGGGAACAGAGAGTGGTGGCAGGTAGCACAGTCACTAATCATCCTCTAGATGTGAAAACTGCTTTTAGAAGTTACCTGCACAGTGGAGTGTAAAAATGCTACCGTGTAAAGCATTGGTTTCCACATGGGTAGATTACTGATGTCCAGAAGGTCTTGATTAATTCCAGCAAATGTCCTCTTCAAACCTGCACGTACCCCTTGGGGTGGCTCATTAGTGAATTTAAGAGAACTCTGTCATAAAAAGCAAACAGTAGTTTTGTTTCTGTAAAATTATCATAAAGGATGAAAGAGGAATGACAATAATACATCACATAATAATATACTTAAGGCATAAAAATGTGGGCTGGCCAGCACCATGTCTATGAATTACACTGCTCAGAGCTGAAACCTGATAAACTATTATCAAGGCTTATAACTCTTCTATGGAAATATTTACTGTATAACCTTGATGGTTGTATTTAAAAGCCTTGACAGTGATAGCATAAGATGTTGCGGTGCAAACTCTATCAGATCAAAAAGTCCTGCTGTGTTTTCATCTTTCAATAATGCCCACTCTGCCATTGTTATTCACATAACCCTCAATGGAAGGAGACTTATAGTGACAAACCTGAAGCAACGTAATTGGAAAGCGATCATGAGGCTCGGTAGTTATCCACACTCGGAAAGAGTCATCACTGGATTCACAGGTAATTAGCGTCTCTAGTAGTTCTTCCATGAATTCCAGGCCAAGGTGACAATTTTGCAGTAACACCCAACCACCCTATGTCCAAAAATGATTTAATATTTATTTTGCATAACATTTTCTTTGCTACGATTTTAATAAAACATATAAAATATACAAACAACAACAACAACAACAACAACAAAACCATTTTATTTAGACCTTGCAAATATTCTATTTGGAGCACATAATTTTTTTAAAAAAATTTTATGTCAATAAAATGATCCCTTCTGCAACTGGTACAAGCTGGTTACTTGGAACCAAGTAGATTCAGAATGATTGTATTCTGCCACCCCTGGTTCACAAAGGAACAGAAATTAAAACCTGAAGTCAGACTTTTGTAGATACAGTGTGTGCACCATCTAATGGTGGGAAAGAGTATTTTGGAATTTGGATTTAAATGACCCAGCCTAAATTAGTTTGTCTGTACTTGCAGAAACCTTTACATTGTCCTAGCATAAACCTCATATCTTAGGGAAGTCAGTCAGAACTGACTTGTCCCCCCAAAAAGATACACATTAGCTCATGAAAGTTGAAAACAAATTTGGTGACATTGGCCACCTGATGCTAAATCTTATTCTTTGTCATCACTCTTCCCATGTATTCCTGAAACCATGAAACTTATTAAGCACCATCTAAATACTTGATAAACTAACTACCTTTAACAATGTGAAAACACAGTTTCTTAACCAGAAAACATTCTGATGCCCTTATAAAAGTAACCTGTACCAAACCAAACCTGAGTCAGTTCTGATTCATGGCATCCTATAGGACAGAGTAGAATTGTCCTATAAGTTTTCTAAGGCTGTAAATCTTTACAGAAGCAGACTGCCATATTTTTCTCCTTTGGAGCAGCTGGTGGGTTTGAACTGCCCACCTTTCAGTTAGCAGCCAAGTGCTTAACCACTATGCCATCAGAGCTCCTTTCCTTATAAAACTAGATCAGATAAATTCAATTCAGCTACAAAACACTGAATTCAACAAATATATGGTAATGCCTGTGTATCAGGCCTTCAACTACATAGGTGAGAGAAAATACAACTCAGACTGGCTTAAACAATAAAGGGGATGTGCTGGTCTATTTACTGGGATGTCCTGAGCAAGATGAAATTTGGGGTCAGTTTGTGTCCTCATAAACCAACATTTTTTTCTGGTTTCCCACTCTGCATTCCATAATGTCAGCTTTATCCTAAATCTGGTATCCATCAAGGTGGAAACATTGCTGTTTGTGATTTGTGTGTGTTACTGAAAAATACCACTATTATTGGTATTTATCCCACTTTGAGAAACAGAACGTAAAAATTGGTTTTCCAAAGAAGGTTAATGTGAATGCAGCATTTAAATGAAGAAGTTTCTTGTTCATTGAAACTAAAGAAACTATTTAAGTCCTAAAGCCAAACTGTCAAATCACTCAATAGAGGGACTCATTTGATCTAAGTAAGAATAATGATATATAATTTCTTTGATATATATAAATTAAATATAATTTCTATTGAATTTAATTAAGTGGTAAAATTTAAGGCTTAGGGCATTTGAGAATTAATGACTAGGCTTCAAAATTTGATGACCCAAGCAGAGTTTTAGCCCATTAACCCTCTCTAGTCATTAATTTCCAGGGAAGAGCTACATCAGAGATGCTATGAACATTATGAGATCAAAAGCTTAAAAAAAATCCAAGATCTTATTTTGTTTTTAAATGGTGCGATTTCTTATTACAATTGAAATTGTTCTCTACAGAGCATTTCAAGAAAATTAAAGTCCTGTGTATTTATTAGGGTGATGGGAACACTTCTCAACATTCCATTCTGCTGGCAATTTCCAATAAAAACCCCTATCAATATTTGAACAAATCATCCTTAAATATTCTTCTTTGACTGAAACAATCTGTTAATGGAAAAATGAAAGCCTGACTTTAACTAAAAATCGAAATGCAACTGTCTCAATCTGTCATTTCTTAAATATTATCTATTACTATTTATTGTGAAATTCTAAGACTGCCAGAGCTACATCCCTGGGAATCAGGTGTGTCTATCAAAGAGTTGGGGAAAAAAAATAAAATCAGTGAAATAAAATGGAACATATACCATGGGAAATGGAACAAGCTTCCCCTGGGGACGACAGGAGGACACTGGTTTGAAATTTCACATTCACACCTGAAGGTTCACTCTAGACACGTAAACACAAATAGAAAATGATGATTGAGCATAACAGGAAGAATGAATCAATCATTCATCACTGTGTTCCAATGCAGATTTGATGGACAGAGGGACAACAGCAGTACTGTTGCACTAGGAGCAAATGTCCCTTGTTACATACCTGCTGCATTGACATCTGAATCAACTTCCGAGCATGAACTTCTTGTCCTTGCCCCATGGAGATAGTTCTACACTCTGTAACACAGGAGAAGTTTCACTATAATGAAATGTCCATTTTTTAAATAAGATTGGGACAAAAAAAAAAAAATTAATTTCTGAATAAGTACAACCTCTCTCCCTCCATTAGTTCTGAGGAGACTTTGGCCTGGCCTTTGGTTGTGTTGATCAGAGAAATGAGTGGACCAAAGAACTGGGGGCACCACCTGGAAAGGTAAGGGACTGGGAGACACAAAAGGCACAAGACTGGGTTTTTAGAGAGAGTTTTGGAGACAATGAGGACAAAGACTGATGAGGGGTGGGGAAAACTACAATGCTATCATGGGTATTTAGAAGGGAAGAGGATTTTTGAGTTTTGCTATAAGTCTTGGTTAGAATTCTCCTTGTTGTTTTACCAAATGCTTCAGTAAAGATTAAATTTGCTTTTTATTCTTTTGAGATGTCAGGCTCACAATGGTTTTACTTGTTTATCTATTTTGGTTTCTTTTTGTATGTCTGTTTATTTTCTGAGATAAAATCAAGGCAACTCAGCCCTTTGAGGGCTACATTCAAGGGTAACTATCTTCTAAGATCCAGTTTTCAGCATTTCCTCAGATTAAATCATCACCTTGGAACTGAGCACTAAGAAAGCGGAGACCACTCCAAAGTGTAATTATAGTTCAGGGGAGAATACACTGTTCAGGACCAAATGTCCCAGGCAGAGGACCACACTTGTGCCCTGACGTATGAATTCATTTGTGAAACTGCAGTCAGAAATTAATTTTTAAGCAAGCCTTTGCGGGCTCAGATTTTCTTGAAGAATTGCATGTTCTTTGAACATAGTCAGGGGAGACATTGTGGATCAATGTATGGCTTTGCTCCACACTACTGGATGAGCTTTTGACCCCAAACCAGACCCACTGCCAAACCCCTTGGGGGCTGACTCAACAGCAGCTAACAGCAACAACTTCAAAAAATTTCCAGAATCTGACCACTTTCGACATCTCCATTTTTATTTCCCTGGTCAAAGTGACCATCACCTCTTGCCTGGATTCTTGCAATAGCTTCCTAAATGATGACCTCACTTCCTCCCTTGTTCCCTACTATCTGTTCTTCACACAGAAGAATCTGTCAAACTTAAATCAGATTATGCCCATCTTCTGCTCAGAACTTTAAAGAGATCTTTTGAATCAGATTTGCCCAATGCAATGAATCATTTGATTTCTTGACTGTTGCTCCTATTATTAAATAGAATGAAATTATTGACACCTTCCATTTCTTTCTCCATATATCATAATGTTGATACAGATTCTACTCTTATCTAAAAAGTGTATTACATAATATATGGACTATTACCTTTCTAATTAATTTGTAAACAAGCCCTTGTTGGCTCAGATATCTTTGAGAACTGCATATTCTTTATACATAAGTCAGGGAAGACATTGTGGACATTTTCGAAAAGTTGTAAAAGCCTGAATATTGTGACATAACTGGCCCAAAGCGTTTTGACTAAGGGATTTTAAATTCATCTGTGTTAAAAATTATATATATGCTATATATACATACACATATGCACATATATGTTATTTTATATCTCTACTTTTAACCTGGTATGTTATGATCATTTTACTGTCATTAAATATTATTGGAAAATATAATTTTAAATGGCTGCATAGTTTTCTGTAATGCTGACGCATCCTTGTTCATTCAGCTATTACACTTTGTATTTTCAATTTTTTAATATTATAAATAACATTAGATAAAATATCATTTATTTAAATCTTGATGTTTATCTCTCAATATTTTCTCAGGAGAAAATCATACACATAGAATAGTTGAGACAAAGCATACAAACACTTTAAAAATTCATAACATATATGTATATAAGATTATCAGTACCTCCAGCTAAAATGGTATGCTGTAGTTTCCAACCCACACTCCTATCCTCATTTGTATCTTAATTTTATTTATAGTGCTTTAGGCATACAGAAATGTTAAGACTTCATACAGTCAGACTATCTTGTCTCTCTGACTCTACTACCATGATTAAGAACAAAGGTGCATCTGACCTAACCCATGGTATTTTTAATTGCCTCAATGCATGCAAAAGCTGGACAATGAATAAGGAAGACTGAAAAAGAATTGATGCATTTGAATTACAGTGTTGGTGAAGAATATTGACTATACCACAGACTGCCAGAAGAACAACAAATCTGTCTTGGAAGAGGTACAGCCAGAATGTTTGTTGGAAGGGAGTATGGGCAAGATGGCTCACGTACTTTGGTCATGTTATCAGAAGGGACTAGTCCCTAGAGAAAGACATCATGCTTAGTAAATTAGAGAGTCAAGGAAAAAGGGGAAGACTCTTAATGAGATGGGTTGACACAGTGGCTGAAACAATGGGCTCAAACATAACAATGATTGTAAAGATGACTCAGGACTGGGTGGAGTTTCATTCATAATGTAGTTAAGAGTGAAGGGACTCAATGGCACCTAACAACATAATTAAGAAAATCTTAGCCATCCCACTATGTAACTGCTTACTAATTTATCCTTTTTTGCCTTTTATTGCTTAATTCAAACTATTTACTACTTAATCATTCTAGAATTTACTTTGGAGTTCAATGTGAGATAAAATTCTTAATTTTTTCTAAAGTCAACTTGCGATCTGAACTCCTTTTATTGACTAATTCTTTTTTCCATTACTGATTTGCAATGTGAATCTTATCATATTACTAAGCTATTATATATATATAGTAAAGTCTAACTCTGGGCCTTATATTTTGCTCCATTGATCTGCTTATCTAATCTGGGCCAGTTCCACACTGATTAAATGGCTACCATTTGATAAAGTTTTTAAAAATTTGGTGGCACTAGTTCCTCGTTATTCATTTTCAAGCTTTCTTGGCTATTCTTGTACATTTATTATTCTAGATGATCTAAGATGTCTCTATCCAATTAGGGGGAAAAAAGATGCCATTAGAATTTCAAGTAGACTTGTATCCAATTTATAGATTAATTTAGAGAATATTGACATCTTTATATCATTGAATCTTTATACTGGGAATGTCATTCACCTCTCCATTTATTCTAGCCTGCATTTATGTCTCTAGGAAAGTTTTATAGCTTTCTTCAAATGGGTCTTTCAAAAATTATTTCTCAGTTTTGTTTATTTTTATTGCTATAGTGAACGAGACTTTTTCATTTCATTTTACAAGAAAGCTCTATTGATTTTTATGTATTTATTTTGTGACCAGCCACCTTACTGAAGTATCCTATTAGGGCTAATAGTTCTTCAGTTGATTCATTTGTGTTTTCTAGTTAGACAATTACAATGTCTGAGAACAACGATGATTTTGACTCCCCTTTCCAGTAGTTATATCTTTTATTTATGTTTCTTAAAATACATTGGCTATATCTCCCACCATAATGCTAAAAAATAATAGTGAGAGAACACGTCTTTAACTTATTACTGACTGTAATAGGTGCATCTCTAATAGTTCACCAATAAGTGTGATGTTGGTGTTTGAAGTTCATATTCATTATCATATTAATAAAATATTCTTCGGTTTCCTACTTCTTAAAAGTAAAATATAAATGTGAAATTTATCTATCAATATAAAAATAGTGGCTTAAGAAAAAGTCTTTCACTTTTTGCTGTGATGCATTGTAATAAGAGATTTCTTAATATCATCTTTTTACTTTCCTCCCATGTGCTCCTACTTGGTCAAAGCTTGTGATACACATTTTTGAATGTCATTTCTTTAATCCTACACTAATTCTTATTTGTATTTTACTTAGGATGCTTGCATTTACATTAATAAGTAGGACCCATCTTTGGTTTTATTTCCCTTACACAGTCACTACTTCGGTTAGTTTTTTTATATTAGGATTATGCTAGCCCCTTAAAGTGAAAAGGGAAACTTACCCTCTTTTTCTATTTTCTGAAACAGAATGTAGCATGTGAAATTTTTTAAAGATTTTAAAGGATTTACTTCCCCTAACTCTTCCAAGCCCAGAGCCTTTGCTGAGGGTAGTAATCTTAAAAGTTCTAAATTTCTCACCTTGATGATTGCTCTATGCAGGGGTTTTCAACATTTTGAGACAACTTTGCAAATTTTTATTTTTCTAGAAACATGCCCATTTTTATGAGATTTTCAAATGTATTTACATAATTAAATGCAATATGCAACATCATGATAAACAGAGAAAATATTGAAGTTGTTAAGGATTTCATTTTACTTGTATCCACTATCAATGCCCAGGGAAACAGTAGTCAAGAAATCAAATGATGTACTGATTGGGTAAATCTCCTACCAAAGACCTCTTTAAATTGTTCAAAAGCAAAGATGCTACTTTGAAGACTAACATGTGCCTGACCCAAGCTATAGTATTTTCAGACACCTCATATGCATGCAAAAGCTGGACAATAAATAAGGAAGACTAAGGAAGAATTGATGCCTTTGAATTATGGCATTGACAAAGAATATTGAATATATCATGGACTGCTAGAAGAACAAGGAAATGTGTCTTGGAAGATGTATAGCCAGAATACTCTTTAGAAGTGAGGATGGTGAGATTTTTGTCTTACATACTTTGAACATATTATCAGGAGGGACCAGCCCTGGAGAAGAACATCATGCTTAGTAAAGCACAGGGTCATAAAAAAGAGGAAGATCCTGAATGAGATGGATTGACACAGTGGCTGCAACAACAAGCTCAAACAGCAACGATTGTGAAGACGGTGCAGGACCAGGCAGTGTTTCATTCTGTTGTGCATAAGGGTCGCTATGAGTCAGAACTGACTCAGCAGCACCTAACAATAACATAACAACAATGAGAATCAACCATGTGAATTGCCAACAAAATCTGGGAATTCTGCACTGGATATCAATGTTTAGATAGAAAAAAGTGGCTATTTCAACATAGGTCAGTTTAGCACATAGAACAGTGTGGTAACAAAGAATAGAACAAAATCAAGATGAGGAGAAAGGGAGTGAACGTAGACCATGCTGCCATAAGCTGATGGCTTACAATAA